AAATTGCTGGGTTTACTTACAGGTCTCTCAATTTGGACAGGCCTTGGAACTGATCCCGTGACAGAGTTACGAGGCTGTTTTTCTCCATGTATCTACGCGATAAATGAAATGCACGAGACGCTCTGTATCACTATTTAACAGAGAATATAAATTTAAATAATTGTTTAGGCTCAGAACTGTTTATCGTCAGGATCAGCTATGATTATTTATAACGTTTATTCACCTCACATAAACGTTCCTTAAATTTTTTTGTGCCTTGTTCTTCAGCAAACTGTTTTACTGCTCGTCAAAGTTGTTCAAAACTTCATTTAAAAGCATCGTCAGACTACTTAAGACTACTTTCACCGGGACGACCACATTTTGATCACATCGCGCTTGCACTGATTGTTCTGACCGCCGGTTAAATAATGGCTTAACGATGGTATATACCCGGGGTGTACATCGTCGTAAAGCCGGTGTAAAATAGCTAGCCGGATTTTTGCCTAGTTAATTTTGCGATCAAGTAAAAGCTTGTATTTACATTTCTTATCGAAATACGGAATGCAAAGCTTTTGAACACCCTTTGCTGCTAGAAAAAACCTGAAAATTATAGGCTTTGTGTCCTGATTAACATTCCACCTTTAATTTAGATTTTTAAAAGATTCCCTAATATCTAGCAGACGTTTTTTCGAAGAGATTTTGAAGAGTCATGAACTCAAGTGTTTTGTGATAACTATAAACCCACTTGATTAACCGCGTTGCTTTTTTCTTTGTTACGACTTTGAACATCATCATCATTATCATATATCGTTTTTTGTCCCATGGGAAGGCGTCAATGAAGTAGTGTGTTGTATTATATTTTGGTATATAAACACTAATGAAATACCTGGCGAGCTTTCGCGCAGAGTGAAAGTAACACGTTATCTTCACAAGTAAAAATACCGCTGTTACTAAAGTTCCGAAATGAAGTGCACCTTTTTGCAGCTAAAGGGAAATTATTAGGTTTTTATTGGTGTTCATATAATAAATATTACATGGCCCCTTAGAGATACGAAATTTATCGTCTCGTGTTGAAAAGTATCTTTCAAAACTCGAAGAGAAAGTTCGTATCTTCGCGCGGCCATGCGATATCCTCCACATGTGCGTTATCTTAACAAATATGATAATGAATGATTCTTATTTTCTGCATCTATTTTAAAAAGTTACTGTATGTTTTTCGATTAAAATCCTTAAAGCAGCTTTTAATTAGGTCTGAGAATGTCAGAGAAATAATGGGTCGGCACACTGATTCTCTGCTTTTACCCAAAGCTCTCTTTTCATTTCTGCTAATTAAAAAAGACACGCACTGAACCAGTTTTTGTTACAAACACAAATCACTTACAATGTTTCTATCTCGGAGAGATTTTTTAACTTTGGCAAACGCTGAAGTTTGTTATTGGAGAGAAAGCTTAAAAAGAAAAAACAAAAGGAAAAAAGTTGAAAAGCAAGTTAACTGCGTTGGTATTTGAGACTCTCGGAGAATTCTTTATCCCAAAAGGGACCTCGTGAATTGACATTAAAACTAAACTGTTTATTTTTATTTTAGCTGAGTAGCTAAACCTTTTATTCCCGGACTTGAGAATGTGAAAAAAAGGTGCCATTTGTACTTTTGCTGTTTAAATGGTCATTTACATATCATGACAGGATTTCACTTCTCAGTTTGATGCATCGAAACTATGAATTCGAACTGTTGCTCATATCGCAAATTAATCTTGTAGCAGTTGGGTTGTAATGATTTAAACCTTTCCTGATTGCTTGGCAAAAAACAAAATGAAGTCACAAGTCAAGTGGATAAAAGCGCTAAACGAGACAGTCAATCTCACTTTTTTCATCTATATTTTCTTTTCACTGCTATTGGTCACCACATCCACTAAAGTTAGCATTATATACCGGGGCGGAGAGGTTTCAACCTCTCCCCACTCTGTTATATACTGAAGCTAGTGAAGCGCATGCAGTAGCTTACGTTGATATGTTTATTGTAATAGCATTCTATTTGCAATGGCCGCAATGCAAGGGTTTACTAAAATCTCTTAAAAGAAATGTACGGTTTCACTCGCTGTAAAGGCGTACAAAATGCCACTTACAGCCTTTTCAACCGAGTAAGGTTGCCAAAAACATCTTCTGGAAGACGCTGAATTTTGTTGTTTGACAAATCCCTTTGAGAAAAACTGGTTAGCTAACATTTAAGAGCACAAATTTTCCTTGGAAGATGGGAAAGTTCCGCTCCCAAAAATTTCTGTAATGTGAGCCAAATCGGCTAGCTGATAATAACATACTAGTAATCTTTTTACTAAATAAGGAGATTGAAAAGCTTTTTAAGCGTCTTTAAAAATATCAATTATGACTAAGAATCTCCAATATGCAGAAACTGGACTCAAAGGACATATTTATTCCATCCTTAAAAATGAGAGACCTTCTGTTACGACAATAATGGAGGGAGACCTTTCATTGTATTATGATATCTATCATTCAAATAACACTTTACTCAGTAATTTCCAAATGAGCAAACTCTGTACGAGAAAGGTAGAAATGAGCGATATTCTCTACTGGTTTGGATCACCACGTATGAATGTTAACACTGACCTGTAAAGGTTTTTTTTTTTTTTTTGTACATAGAAAAGTCCTACTTACAGTATTTTCAGTTTAGTATTACTGCTTAGTATCTCTCGTGGCAAACTCTGCAACTGATTGTAGGACAAGTCCCTGAAGAAACGTGTTTGGAGAATGAGATGAATGCCAGCGAGAAAAAAATAAACAAACAAACATTCAGTTAACAAACTACATTTCCAAGGGCTATGTGGAACTCTGTCATTTCTGTCTTGGATGACCTTCTTAACTGCCGAAATTCTTATCTTATAGAGCTTAGGCAGAGGTAGTTCATTAATCAGTCTTAGTAATCAGTTGTAGTAATCTTTGAAAACTTGAAAACTCCCTCTCTGGGAAACATTCAAATTTCCCTGTCCAATTTTTTTGGGTTTTTGTTACGTTCGATAAATAGATGCACGTTATTCGATGGTTTAACAAAGTTCTAAGGCAGACGGATGATTTCCGAGTTGCGTAGTATTTATTATCATTTTAGCGAGTAAAGATGCAAGCATTGCGTATAATGTTTGCTTGTCGAATAAGGGAGAAAGTGGATTCAGTTGGCTATAAATCGAAATTTTTTTCTATTGAATTAGCTTTGCACAATTGTTTACAGAAGTGAGCGCAAGCAAGCTGGTGAAGTCATCTGGACACACCCGATGTCACGTGACCCAGAGCAAAAAACAACCCAATGTATATGTCATTATTAAATTTACGACTTTAATTTTTTTTAAGTCTCCTTTCATTATGCAAAGTTACAAGCAGGCATTTTGAGTTAGCATGAAAACGTACAAAATGAGAGCAAAAATGTGTGGACAATTTTTTTTTAGGGGTAATTTCTCTGTTTTGTTTTTTTTAGAATTCGTCAAACCCGTGTCTGCGTTTCAATAAAGATATATTCTCTTTTTACTTAATGCAAAGGAAGAAAGTGCAACTTTTTGTTTTCGAGAGTGGCATCCTTTTTGTCTACAACGAAAGTAAAACTTCACTGTGACATTCTCTAACTTTGGAACGTCCTGTTTATCTCTCTGGGAAACATTCAAATTTCCCTGTCCAATTTTTTTGGGTTTTTGTTACGTTCGATAAATAGATGCACGTTATTCGATGGTTTAAGAAAGTTCTAAGGCAGACGGATGATTTCCGAGTTGCGTAGTATTTATTTTCATTTTAGCGAGTAAAGATGCAAGCATTGCGTATAATGTTTGCTTCTCGAATAAGGGAGAAAGTGGATTCAGTTGGCTATAAATCGAAATTTTTTTTTCTATTGGATTAGCTTTGCACAATTGTTTACAGAAGTGAGCGTCAGCAAGCTGGTGAAGTCATCTGGACACACCCAATGTCACGTGACCCAGAGCAAAAAACAACCCCATGCATATGTCATTATTAAATTTACGATTTGATTTTTTTAAGTCTCCTTTCATTATGCAAAATTACAAGCAGGCATTTTGAGTAAGCATGAAAACGTACAAAATGAGAGCAAAAATGTGTCGACAAGTTTTTTAAGGGTAATTTCTCTGTTTTGCTTTTTTTAGAATTCGTCAAACCTGTGTCTGCGTTTCAATAAAGATATATTCTCTTTTCATTTAATGCAAAGGAAGAAAGTGCAACTTTTCGTTCGCGAGAGTGGCACCTTTTTTGTCAACAACGGAAGTAAAACTTCATTGTGACATTCTCTAACTTTGGAACGTCCTGTTTTTGAACTACTCACACAATACTGATCAAACTCCATGTCCGACTGGTTAACTAGTGGCTCCAATAAATAAATCAAGAACGAGAGGTGTATAAAACCATATTTTGAGCTGCTTGAGAGCAATAGATCACAAATGCAATACAGAGGAAAGCAATATTAACGTTGACGGGGAATTTTTGAAAACAAATCCCAAAATTTATACTTACACTTCCTCTAATGTGGACATTTCTTGAAGAATGTTTCGAGGCAGCTTTTCCAGCTGATTACCACTCAACCGCCTATATATAAAAAGCGATAAAAAAGATCCTATTGTACGAAAGATGCTTCAAACTTAGGGCAGAGATTTTCTGATTATATTATTGTACCTAGGATATCCACATCATAAACGCTATCCCCATTTTTGGCTTGATTTTCTAGTTTAAGTCTGTATTCGAGAGCAAAGTTTCATCATATCTTCGCTCTTAGTTCCGGGATATCGTTCCAGTTTTCCTCCCTTCGAATACGATCATCGTTTAATACGCGTTAAAGAATAAATGTGGAAAACATTTTCTCGAAGAGAGCCCTGAACCCTATGTTTATGTTTCGCGGGTCATTGTCAGCCTTGCTATGGTGTTTGCGCAGTTTATTTTCCAACACGGCGCCGGGGATTTTAATACCGGTTTTTTAAAAGTTACTATTCGTTTCTTAATTTTTAGCCCTAGCCATCAAATATACTACAACTGATTTTCGTCAAGCAGCATAGCGTTTCCAAAAACCTTCTGGTCCATCTGAAGTAATCTTGTGCATGCTGAGGAAGTAAAGTGCCACAGGACACTACTCGCTCTAAATTAGCATCGATAATTTATCGATAGAACCATTGTGTTAAACACCTTTCTTTGTCCTCTTGATCGACTCTTAGTAAGATACTTGAGCCCGCAGGATACAGCAGTATTGTGCCTTTCGAATGATCGTACTGTGTAACTTGTTCGAGTATTCCATGCCAAACTGTTTTTTAATTTCTGTAGTGCTGGTCATGTTTAGGTATTTCTAAATGTGTTTCACAACCAAAGTAGTTAGCACCTTCGCACAAGTACCCAGAAACGGCACGCACAAACACGTAACTATCGTATCAGCACCCGCAGATACGATCTATATAAATCTAAAGACGTTACGCCGTTCAATGATTACACTTTAGATACAAAACTAAACGTTGTCAATTGAAATCATGTTCACACTGCTGATACATGCGATCACGCCAGAAACAAAAGAGAGCAAGTAACTTCCCAAATGTTTGCTTCAAAAGGTGTCAAGTAATTGCTACTCACAAATATTTCAATATATTTTGCCCTTTGAAGAGATCTTCAGGTAAGTTTTTTAAGTTGTTGTTTCCCAGCCACCTGTAAAACGCATTAAAGTTAAATACCACTGGCATCTGAAAAAATTTTTATTCTTTGTACTGACTAGAACTTGCAAGAGGTCCAAATTTTTGCCTAAGGTTTGTTCTATAATTCAAATCTACATGTACTCAATATTAGAACGGCTTGAACATTTCTCATTTTGTTTACCCGAACAATGACCGGCGCGTAAATATACTCATTCATTGCTTTTCTTGAATCTAGCAGGTCATATCATCATAATCTTCCTAGTAGGCTACCTTCAACTGAGGCATGTCTACGTATATTTTATTATCATCTTTCAATTATTAGACATAAATCGTTTTTATGCCTGCGAGCCAAATTGCACTCGGTAATGGTAAATCTTGATAGACAGAGGAACATTAACAGGTTAAAGCTGAGATGAACATGGAACAATTATTAAATAAAATATATGTCTAAGTTATAGGTCATTCATATGTCATCCAAAGTGAAAGATAGGATGTTTGTAAGTCGTGCCTTTTTCCCCTTAACTGTTAATTATTTTGTTAAAGAGGATTCTGGCAAGTGCCTGATGATTGTCAAATTCAGTGGTTTGCTAGTATTCAATCCTATCATTAAAACAAAACTAAAAAAGGTTTGATTCAGTCGTGGGTGAGATTCAGTTTTAAATAAAACGACCATACAGGAAGAGGAATAACTGCAAGTCAGTGGCAGTCAACTATATTAAGATTCAGAGCGAATAACTTACAGATCAGTTAACTTGTAGCGCTTGATCAGATCACTTGGTAGAGTCTCCAGTTTGTTGAAGTCCAGAGTTCTGTATAAAAATATACGGTCTTTCATTGTTCAGTCGGGAGTGTGGAATTCTATTTTGATTTTGTCCACAAATGTAAACAGACAGGCTGTGGTTGCACACTAAAGTTAACATCGAAAGTTACAAGAATAAAATGTTTGAACAAAAGCTTGCACGTTTCCAAACAATGTACGTGTGCAATTTCAACGAACCATTGCAGTCAATGCTCACTGATTTAAAAAGAAGGAAGATTCAAATGAATTTTTAATCAGTCTTACTATGTTACAGAGAACACTCAGTTTAACGGTCAACATTAATTATCAATAATAAATGAGAGTGACAAAATTTTAAGTATATCACGTTCCCAGTCACCATCTCGGAGGACGATATGTTGCAAGATATATTTTAGAACTTTAGATTTGGTAGAATTACTGATCGAAAACTGTATAAGACTCCAAAACCACAGAACTTACAGGTTTCTAAATTCTTTACCCTCCCTATATATACGTGGTAATTGGTCAGAGGACAAGTTCTTTATGTTGTTGTTGTTCAGGAAACTGCATTTGAAAAAGGAAAACACAAGATAGTGCTGTTGAAAAGCAAATAGGCTAACAGATTGATTTCCTTTCGTGCTGCTATTGTAAACTTGAAAGGTAACAAGAAATATGACAACATCAGACATCTTTACGTATGATGTGCGATCCTCGCAGTAG